AAGTGAGTTTCACCACATTTTATAAGTTGGCCACGCCCACCCAGTCACATGACTGCCAAGCCACTCCCACTCAGTCTTATGGCTGGCAAGCAACTCCCACAAAGCAGGCCACACCCACAGAAGAGGTTCTAAAAAAATTTGAAACCCACCACTGGTGTATATGTGTGTGTATTTTTTACAAAAACCTTTTCTTACGTTCTGATGTATACATTTGGACGAAGGACATTCAATTTTACTCCCTACCCAACTGAGTCAGCTGATGTCTGAATGTAATTTTAATTTTACCCTATGTTGTACTGAATGTTAGTGAGTCCCTAGCAAGATAACATGTAAACATTGGGGTTATTTTCTTTTTCATGGTTGGTTTTTCATGATTGCCCCATTCTGATGTACAAACATGCCTTGTTTAAAAGTAGCGTTATTTGTCTTTTTTTTCCACAGCCCTCTCTTTTTTCTTTCTATTTTTTGGAAAATGACAGAGGCATAGGGTCTTAAATACCCTCTATTATTATCGCATGGATTGAAACACAAACACGCACAAAAATCTCACACTCCCCTGTGTATAATGGGCAATCTAAAAGAAGGAGCTACAGGACTGGAATGAAGGATTAATTTTCCTCATTCCAAGATATTTAATGATGTCAAACTGGGTAGGATTAGTATGTGTTTATGCTACAAAAAACAAAAGCTGAAAGTTAGAGATCAAAATGTTCAATAAATAAACCCTTAAATCTGAGCTCTGAGTGCCATTAAAAAAGGTATAATATTGTGCCATAAAATAGAGGTTGAAAATACTTTTTTATGAATGCAAGCTGTGCCTGTGTTTTTTAATTTTGAAATATGAGCTCGGTGTATTTAACAGAACCTTTTTTCATCGATCTGTATTTTTCAAATTGCTGCGGCTTCAAAAACAGATTTTGCAACCTGCCTTAAGCTGTCAATGTTCCCCTTTCTCAGCCTCAACATACAGTGCCTGACATCTTCATCTGGATGCTTAGCAACCACAAAAGAATCGCCTATACAAGAATCCCAGCCAAAGACGTGCTGTATTCCCCTGTGAAGGGGCAGCGGGGCAAACATTGCGGGAAGATTAAAACCCACTTTTTGAAAGTAAGGCTGAAAAGAAGTAAAATCATCTTAATCCTGACTAAGTCTCATAGCAGTGGTCCCCCCACCAACCTATTGGGCACCAGGGACTGGTTCTGTGGAGAAAGGGATTTCCACGGAGAGAAAGGGGCAAGGGGTTTTGCACGCTGCCTGCATACCGCAGAGAGGGCTTCATTTGTTTGTGTGGCCCAGTTGCTGGCATCACTGACGTCAGTGCATCGACCGAGGGTTGGGGAGCCCTGTTTTATAGGACATTTATCCGTGACCCGTCAAAACCGCGTTCCACAAAAGCGCGGTCGACGAAATCGCGTATGTGACGTCATCACAACGCGACGAAAAAGATCAAAAAATGTAAAAAAAATTACAGCAAGCCGATTCACATAAAGGTAAGGGTTAGGTTAAGGGTTAGGGTTAGGTTAAGGGTTAGGGTTAGT